CTTATTAGAGAAGGTTCCAGGTAGAACAATCCATGGAGCTGGCTGAACTTGACAGAATGGACAGTCCAAGGGAGGTATTCATTCTGGGAGAATGAGGCAGGCCCCACATAACTGGATATATGGAGATTTTTTTTTTTGACAGGCAGAGTGGACAGTGAGAGAAAGAGACAGAGAAAAAGGTCTTCCTTTACCATTGGTTCACCCCCTCCTCCAATGGCCGTTGCGGCCGGTGTGCTGCGGCCAGCGCACCGTGCTGATCCAAAGCCAGGAGCCAGGTGCTTCTCCTGGTCTCCCATGCGGGTGCAGGGCCCAAGCACTTGGGCCATCCTCCACTGCACTCCCGGGCCACAGCAGAGAGCTGGACAGGAAGAGGAGCAACCGGGACAGAATCTGGCGCTCCGACCGGGACTAGAACCCGGTAGGCGGAAGATTAGCCTAGTGAGCTGCGGCACCGGCATACGTGGGGATTTATGCAAAGTGTTGAAAGACTTAGGTGAGAATGTAGGCATGGGCTATGGAACTGCCCGTCTACTTCCTCCAGTCCCTCCTGCCTTTTCATCGAGCCTGGCATCTCTTGTACCATCCTTTTCTCCCAGCCAATCCCATCCATTGAATCTTTCTCTCTAGACCACTTGCTGCTTCTCCAGTCTCCTTATACCAGCATTCTCCTCTTAGCTCTCTATTGTTGTGTGTTCCTCCCCTGCACCCTCACTTTCTTGGCCCCTTGGACTTTGTCCACTGCTGGAAAATGCTACGCAGCTCTTCTTTTGTGCCTGTTGACAGTCCCACTCTTTGGGCAGCTCCTTCTTCCATTCTCTCAGCTTTGGTCAACCCCCTGCACTTGCCGATCCTACTGCTTGGTAGCAATGTCCATGCCTCTGTGTTTCTCTGGGAAAACCCTGACTATCATGAATGCATTTTGACTTCTCTCATCCTTTTTTTTTTTTGGCAAATTACTTTTAAGAATATTTTTATTTATTTTATTTGAAAAGGAAGAGAGAATCTTATATCCTGTCTGCTTGTTCACTCCCCAAATGCAATGGCCCAGACTGGGCCAGGCTGAGGTCAGGATTTGGACCCACATGGCTGGTAGGGACCCAATTACTTGAGCAATCACCATCTGACTTCCAGGGTGTGCATAAGCAGGAAGCTGGAACTGGAAGCAGAGCCAGAACTCAAACCCACGCACTTCAACCTGAGAGGCGGATGTTCCAAGTTGCATCTTAACTGCTGCACCACACACTCACCTCTGACATCCATTCTTTTTTTTTTTTTTGACAGGCAGAGTGGACAGTGAGAGAGAGAGAGAAAGGTCTTCCTTTACCATTGGTTCACACACACACCCACCATGACCGCTGCGGCCGGCATGCTGCGGCCAGTGTGCTGCAGCCAGCGCACTGCGCTGATCCGAAGCCAGAGCCAGGTGCTTCCTCCTGGTCTCCCACGCAGATGCAGGGCCCAAGCACTTGGGCCATCCTCCACTGCACTCCCTGGCCACAACAGAGAGCTGGACAGGAAGAGGGGCAACCGGGACAGAATCCGGCGCCCCAACTGGGACTAGAACCCAGTGTGCCGGCGCCGCAAGCGGAGGATTAGCCTAGTGAGCCGCGGCGCCGGCCTGACATCCATTCTTAATCATTACTTTGATCCCCACTCATGTTTGCCCACTGTTGTCTTAAATTTTCTATCATCTGGTTCCCACCCCAAGAATCTCTTGTGTTAAAAAACATTGCTCTTTCATTCCTCCTTTTGTGTTTCCCTCCTAGAAGAGACTGCAGTCCCCATTGCACTTCTGCCTTCATGCTATGCCGCATGGACAAGGTCATCGTACATAACTATTGCTAACTCCAGTGTATTCTTTTTCTCTTGTCCTCTCTGCAACTTTTCACATTGTTAGCCGTCATCTCTTCCCTTGGCTTCCCTATTTATTCCATGATTTTGTCATTCACCATATTTTCATCATGCTCTTTCTTTGTGTAAATTCACCGATTCCCATGGCTTCACCATTACACTGATGACTTCCATGTTCATATCTTCAAATCAGATGTTGAGATCATCCAAAATTCTTATTGGATGCCTGTCTTTTTTTTTTTTTCTTTTTTTTGGCAGGGAGAGTTAGACAGTGAGAGAGAGAGAGACAGAGAGAAAGGGCTTCCTTCCGTTGGTTCACCCCCCAAATGGCTGCTATGGCCGGCACACTGATCCAAAGGCAGGAGCCAGGTGCTTCCTCCTGATCTTCCATGCGGGTGCAGGGCCCAAGCACTTGGGCCATCCTCCACTGCCCTCCTGGGCCACAGCAGAGAGCTGGACAGGAAGAGGAGCAACCGGGACAGAATCTGGCGCTCCGACCGGGACTAGAACCCGGTGTTCCGGCGCCAGTAGGCGGAGGATTAGCCATGTGAGCCATGGCGCCGGCCGGATGCCTGTCTTTGTATGTACTTCAAATATCTGCAGCACAACCCCTCTGCAATGGCTTTTTTTTTTTTTTTTTTTTTTTTTTTTTTTTTTTTTTTGACAGGCAGAGTGGACAGTGAGAGAGAGACAGAGAGAAAGGTCTTCCTTTGCCGTTGGTTCACCCTCCAATGGCCGCCGCTGCAGCCGGCGCACCGCGCTGATCCTGGCAGGAGCCAGGAGCCAGGTGCTTTTCCTGGTCTCCCATGGGGTGCAGGGCCCAAGCACCTGGGCCATCCTCCACTGCACTCCCTGGCCATAGCAGAGAGCTGGCCTGGAAGAGGGGCTACCGGGACAGAATCCGGTGCCCCGACCGGGACTAGAACCCGGTGTGCCGGCGCCGCAAGGTGGAGGATTAGCCTATTGAGCCACGGCGCCGGCTCACAACCCCTCTGCAATGGCTTTACAACAACAGAGAATCATCCAAGGTTCTCCATTTTCCTTAACTTCCCTCTTATTTTATTATTATTTTTTATTATTATTTAAGAGACAGAGAGACAGATTTCCCATCTGCTGGTTCTCTCCCTAGATCTCTACAACAGCCAGGGCTGGGCCACACAGAAGTCAGAAGCATGAAATTAAACCTGGGTTTCTCATATGGGTGGCAGGGATCCAACCATTTGCACCATCACCTACTGACTCCCAGGGTGCACATTAGCAGGAAGCTAGAATACGAAGCTGGCACCAGGAATCAAACCCAGGTACTCCAATATGGGATATGAGTGTCTCAAATGGTGTCTTAATCCCTACACCAAATACCCATCCCCCTTAAGTTCCCCCTTCTATCTTCACCCTTATGCTGTATCCAACTCCACATCATTAGGGGTTGAATAACATTAAAACTATTACTGTAACATTTTTTTTTTTCATTTGTTTCCTACTTACTATCTCCTGTGCTTCTTACCTTGGTGTAGGCTCTTCTCTTCTGACTGGTCTCCTGCAGTATTGTCTTCATTATTGCCTTTCCAGTCTTGATCCCTCTAGTCCACTTGCTTCACTGCTGCTGAAGTGATTTTTCTAACATGTAAAACTGTTAGTGTCAGTCTTGTGCAATAAACTCTTCAGGGAGTCCTCATGCTGTTACCAAGTCCAAGCTCCGTAGAAAAGCATATCCTGGCACCTGACTTAGCTTCGTAAGAGCAACCCTTGTAGCTCATACAGTAGAAGGCATGGAATGAAGATATTATAGACCAACATGGAAACTTATTGAAGGACTTTACTATGACCAGAAATTTAGTGGGGGGGAAATGGTTTTCAAGGAGATGATGATATAGTAAAAATAAAGAAGTACCAAAAGACGCAATTGCGCCTCTATTATATGTAGACAGAGATGGTAACAGTTCAAAGACTTCCATTTCCAAAGTGTCCCTAGTCCTCACTTATAATTCCATATATGCAAATATATACGATTTATAGATATACCTGTTATTATAAAATTTCTATATAGCCAGAGTATATAAGAATTTTATGCAGTAAATCCTTATGTCAAGATTTATAGCTAAATTGGAGCCAACCTAGAAAAGTTTCAGTCACTTCCAAAAGACAGTTGTACACCAGATATCCTAGCTGAATTATTGTAATTTTGAACAATCCACAGGCATGTATTTTGCAGTTGAATTCTTATTTCCAACCCCTCTCTAGACCCTTAGGAGTATATAAAATTAATTTTAAATTTGCATTAGCTATTTAGCATTTGTAAATAACTTCAAAGATGAAAAAGAATTATTTAATGCTAAACATTTTATGTTGATGAAGCAAATATGACAAAACATTGACATTTATTAGATCCAGATTGAGGAGTATCCAATGGGGTATAATAATACTACTTCTTATAAGAAACATAAATGACATTCTTTGTACTATCCTTTATGCATTTGTTTTTGACAAATTTTATAATATGGGGTTTTTTTTTAATTAAATGATAATGGTATTATTTCACCTTCTTCAAGTATAAGGATTGTTACAAAGTACTTCAGAGGGGCTGGTGCTGTGGCCTGAAGCCCTGGCCCTAAGCGCCGGCATCCCATATGAGCGCTGGTTCTAGTCCCGCCTGCTTCTCTTCCGATCCAGTTCTCTGCTATGGCCTGGGAAAGCAGTACAAGATGGCCCAAGTCCTTGGGCCCCTGCATCCGTGTGGGAGACCCGGAAGAAGCTCCTGGCTCCTGGCTTCGGATTGGCGCAGCTCTGACCGTTGTGGCCATCTGGGAAGTGAACCAGCGGACGGAAGACCTTTCTCTCTCTCTGCCTCTCCTCTCTCTGTGTAACTCTACCTTTCAAATAAATAAATAAATCTTTAAAAAAAAAAAAAGAAAATACTTCACAAAGATCCCAAGTCTCAACTCCTGTTGCTCATGGCTCTCTAGACTTGTCCACTAGATCCCTGAGTCACCTATCAACATAAATCCCAAACAAATGGAGTGCATTGTGCATTCTGGCACCATACCATTTTGTGTAAAAATCATTAGCTGATACTAAGTAAAAATCAAGCTGTATTTCAATGATCTTTATATTTTCTGTGTATTCTGAAATAATTGTTTGTGTTTCCTTAGGACTTTTCAGGATGGCATGGATGAGTCTGCTTCAGATTCCTTAAAATCAGTTTTCAACCAACCATTACACTGGGTTTCTTGCATTTCACATTTCTACCCTTCTTTACTAAGGTGAGTACCTCTAATGCTACACTAGCTGTAATGCTATAATTGCTTTTAAAGTTTAATAGAAACTTTTCTTCATGGATGTAAATGTAATTTACAAAAGGAACTTAACAACTTTTCACCACTGGCCGGTTAGAAAAGATTATTATTTCTCATTTTCTAGCTCAAGAACCCAAGACACAAACCCCATAATCATTTCAATAACTCACAGGTTTAATGATAGAATGGAAAATGGAATTTTTGAAATTTAACTCTGTTTTAGCTAGTTGCTTAATGATTTTAAACGGCCTCTTTCTTTATCTATGACTGGGGATTTTGACAGCTCTCCAACTAATTATCAAATATAGTCTGCAAAACTGGGTGATATATACAACTAACTCATAGCCTTAGACAGAAGTTGAGAGAAGAGTAGCTTGTAAAATTATGAATCAGATCTTTCATTTTCATTTGCCATTATTTAAAAACAAGAGAAATCATTTAAATTATGAAATGTACTTCCAGAGTTATTAGATGACATTTTGTGGCATTATATAAAATGACAGTTTGATTCTTTCTGGAATATATCATTGGAAAATACCCTTCTTTGGTATCTGAAAGTAAAAATATCATACATAGCTACAGGAGATATTGTTAATCCACATACATTCTGATTCATCTTGGAGACATACTATCAGTGATTTCACCATCTAAGTTAACTGACTTTCTCTTTTGAGGAACAGGAGTCCCACCCATAAATCGAGTATGTGAAAACCTCACACCAAAAACCCCTCCAGATATAACAAACATATGCTGCTTGCCTACTGTACTCTGGTCCCCGTGTTGGTGATGGAGGATCCAAAATTAAGGACTCAGAGACCGTGCCTTCAAGGCTCTCAGCATGTTGTTAGGACCGAGATAGTTCATTTCATTTTTAGTTGCTTTGCTGCAGTTCACAGATACTGCGTTTTTTACACACTGTAGCTCTGTGGCAATGCTGCTTTGAAAAGTGCCATTTTTCCGATAGTGTGTGCTTGCCTTGTGTCTCTGTGTCACGTCTTGAGAATTCTCACAGTATTTCAAACTGTTTGGTTTTTTTGTTATGGTGATCTGTGATCACTGATCTTTAATATTATCATTGTAACTGGTTTGAGATACCACAAACTGTGCCCAGGTATGACGATGAACTTAATGTGTAAATGTTACGTGTGTTTTGACTGCTCCCCTCATCAGCTCTGCCCCTGGTTCTCTCCCTCTCTTTGGTTCTTCCTATTCTCTGAGACACAGCAGTATTGGAATTTGGCCAACTAATAACCTTACGATGGCCTCTAAGTGGTCTAGTGAAAGGAAAAATGTAAGTCTCTCACTTAAAAAAAAAAAAAAAAGCTAGAGATGATTAAGCTCAGTGAGGAAAGTATGTCAGAGGGCCAGACAGACCGGAAGGGGGCCTCTTGTGCCCAATAGCCAAGTTGGGAATGCAAAGGAAAAGGTCTTGAAGGAAATCCAAAATGCTGCTCCAGTGAACACGAGAATGACAAACTGAAACAACCTTATTGCTGAGAAGAAAGTTATAGCGGTCTGGAGAGAAGATCAAACCGACCCCAACATTCTCGTAAGCCAAAGATTGGTCCAGAGCAAGGCCCTAACTCTCTTCAGTCCTAATAAGGCTGAAAGGAAGCACAGAAGAAAAGTGAAGCTAGAAGAGGTTGGTTCATGAGGTTTAAGGGAGAAACAATCGCCATAACATAAAAGTGCAAAGTGAAACAGCAAGTACTGATGTAGAAGATAGAGCAACTTATCCAGAAGATCGATTTGAGATCACGGATATCAGCATATGGAAGAGTTATCCTATCCGTACCCTGATGTTTACTATAGCTCAATTCACAATAGCTAAGATACGGCATCAACCAAAATGTCCATCAGCTGATGACCAGATAAAGAAATTGTGGTATATATAGACTGTAGAATACTATCAGCCATTAAAAAAAAAGAAAGAAAGAAATCCTGTCTTTTGAAAAAAAAAAAAAAATGGATGCAACTGGAAGCCATTATCCTTAGTGAAATAACCCAGTCCCAAAAAGACAAACTTAACATACATGAGTAAAATTGACATTTTGAGATTCCATGTTGTTTACAGTCCTTGTCTCTACTGTTGAGGAACAGGTTTTTTTCTTCTTGCTATTTGTTAAATTCTTTACATAGTATAGTGTTAATCTTATGAGTATAAAATAAACTGAAAGTATGTCATTGTAAAAGTTGAAAGAAGGAATAAGAAAGGAAGGAGGGGGTGGGAGGATGAGCAGGAGGGAGGGTCTTACTATGGGAAGTATTACTATGCTACTAAATCTGTATATATGAAATACATGAAATTTGCTCACCTTAAAAAAAGAAGAAGATAATATACAGAGGTGGCTACACTAAAAAACAGAGTGAAACAGCTTTCTATTGGAAGGGATTCAATCCAGGAGGTTCATAGTGAGAGAGGAAAAGTCAATACCTGACTTGAAAGCTACAAAGAATATTAGCCCTTAACAAAGAATTCTCTTATTAAAGGCTAATACAGCTGGTGACTTTAAGCTGAAGCCAATGCTCACTTACCTTTCCAATAATCCTTAAGAATTATACTAAATCTACTCTACCTGTGCCCGCAAACAAAACCATACAGCTGCATGACAGCACATCCATTTACAAGATAGTTTACTGAATATTTTAAGTCTCAGACCAAAAAAAAAAAAAGGGGTCCCTTTCAAAACATTATTACTCCTTGCCAATACACTTGGTCTCTCCAGAGCGCTGTTGGAAATGTGCAATTATTTGATGTTGTTTTCATGCCTCCTTACATAGCATCCGTTCTGCAGTCCATGTATCAAGGAGTAATTTGACTTTCAAGAATTCCATTCTGTAAGGCTCTATCTGCCATAGCGATTCATCCAATAAATATGGGCCAAGTAAATGAAAAACTTTCTAGTAAGCACCATTCTTAAGAACAATCATGATTCACAGGAGGAAATCAAAATATGAATATCAACATTAAGAGGAGTTTGGTAGACGTTGATTCCAGCTCTCTTGGATGACTTGGAACGGTTCAGTACTTCAGTCGAGGCAGTCACACAAGTAGATAAAAATAACCAGAGAAGTAGAATACTTGTGGTGCCTAAAAGTATCAGTGAATTGCTGCAATCTCTTGGTAAAATTTTAACAGATGAGGAGTTGCTTCTTTTGGATAAGGAAAAACAGTGTTTTCTTTCTTCCCTTTTTTTTTTAAAAAAAGATTTATTTTATTTATTTGAAAAGCAGAGTTACAGAGAGGCAGAATCAGAGAGAGAGATCTTCCATCCACTGGTTCACTCCCCAAATGGCCACAAAGGCCAGAGCCTGGACCACTTTCCATTGCTTTCCCAGGCACAATAGCAGAGAACTAGATAAGAAGCAGCCAGGACTTGAACTGGTGCCCATATGGGATGCCAGCACTGCAGGTGGCAGCTTGACCCGCTACACCACAAGTACTGGCCCCAAAACAGTGTTTTCTTAAGATGGAAACTACTCTTGGTGAAGATGCAGTGAACATCGTCGAAATGACGACAAAGGATTTAGGATATGGATAGACCTCTTTGATACAGCAGTGGCCGCTTTGAGAGGATTAACTTCAAATTTGAGAGAGTTTCTTTGTGGGTAAAATGCTGTCAAACAGCATCACACTCTGCAGAGAAATCTTTCATAAAATGAATTTTCATCAGTTTGGCAATATCTTATTTTGTAATTGCTCCGACCACCCCAGCCTTCATCAACCACCTCCATGATCAGTCAACATCAAAGCAAGACCCTACACACCAGCAACAAAGCTACATCTTGCCAAAGTCTTAGATGATTGTTAGTGATTTTTAGCGATGAAGTATTTTTAAATGAGGGTATGAACATCGTTTTTTCGGATATGATTTTGCTGCATACTTGTAAGACTACATTGTTTGGCTGGCGCCACGGCTCACTAGGCTAATCCTCCGCCTTGCGGTGCTGGCACACCGGGTTCTAGTCCCGGTCGGGGCGCCGGATTCTGTCCCGGTTGCCCCTCTTGCAGGCCAGCTCTCTGCTGTGGCCAGGGAGTGCAGTGGAGGATGGCCCAAGTGCTTGGGCCCTGCACCCGCATGGGAGACCAGGAAAAAGCACCTGGCCCCTGCCATCGGATCAGCGCGGTGCGCCGGCCGCAGCGCGCCGGCCGCAGCGGCCATTGGAGAATGAACCAACGGCAAAGGTAGACCTTTCTCTCTGTCTCTCTCTCTCACTGTCCACTCTGCCTGTCAAAAAAAATTTTTAAAAAAAAAGACTACATTGTTTTGTAAACATAACTTCTATATGCACTGGGAACCTAACTGCAGTATCTCCGAGGTATGCCTGTACTTCCGTACAGAGAAAAATGTCAACATCTCTAATAAACTCCTATGAGTGATTTCCTGGAATGGACTACCCTCCACACACAGTCATCTCAATGCCTCATCATCTTGCATGTGAATATACTTCTGTCTCATTAAGAATTAAATAGGCAACTCTTTAATGCTCATTAGTGCAAAAATAACAAATCAAACAACTGAATCTTTTACTGTGTGAGTTAACAAATGGCTTGTATCATTTTGATGAGTTTCTAAGTGTCTAACCATATTTGTTCTCCAGTTTATTATCGCATTTGCTTTCATCTGTTTTTACTGGTGGAACATCTAGACTTCCTTCTCTAGGCCTGTTCAGCTCAATAAAGCTAGAAGTCTAGGAAGTCAACATGAAAATGGGTTAAACTCTCAAAGAATTCTTACAGTTAACTTCTTTCTCTTTTCTGTATCTAACATCAGTGCAGAAATGTATTTCTTTCTCTCTGCTTCTGTCCTACACAAAGATTAGAACATAAGGGTCGGGGCTGGCACTGTGGTATAGCAGGTAAAACCGCCATGTGCAGTACTGGCATCCCATATGCGTGCCAGTTCAAGTCCTGGCTGCTCCACTTCTGATCCAGCTCTCTGCTAGGGCCTGGGAAAGCAGTAGAA